CTAACCTCACCAAATTGACTTTCCTCGGGCGCAAGATGAGGATGTTCAACAATCGGCCATATCATATGGACCCCATCGATGTCCTTGATGCTATCAAAGAGACCCGCATAAGCTTGACCACGGCATGTTTAGACTGCGCTTACACTTGTTGGGCCAGTCCGTCTTTCAACACGTACAAACAATTTCAGAAGCTGGAAAATATATGGCTAAATGCGCGGAGCTCTACGTACGCGGGCTTGAAGAAAGAGGCCATCATGACGCTGCCTCATTCTTTGAAGAAGATTCATTTAACAGGCGATGTGGAAGCTTTGCATGTGAGCCTTCGTTTACTTGCTAACAGGTACAAAGAAGGCACATTGCCTAAGCTCCGCGAAATTGCTGTAGGATGCTGGTGCGACGATTGTGTAGAGACTCGTCGAGCATTCCGACTGGCTGGTGTTGAGAGTGTCAAGAAAGGGGTTTCCACGCCGAACAACTGGTTACTGACATAATTATCTCTTCAGAGCTATCGTCTACATCATAGGTGATTGTCTTCGTTCTGAACGCAATGTAGCAATAAATTAGTTCAGGATCGCAACCTATTGTCGCATACCTCCCAGACCAGAGCGAGTAGCCAGGCGCGGAATTGAGAAATGCCGAGTAAGGTGTGGGAGTAAACCGCTCGAAAATATGATTCAGATCCCCAGATCTTAGTCTCATCATATAAAAGGTCATCTTCAAATATAGTGATGATATTACAAACTATTTGCCATAGATCTCATCAGAAGCCCGGCATCGTGTCCACTTCCTTCCAGGCCCGCACGCCGACCTTGGCAAGCGCTTCACAAGTTAGTGCAAGGAATTGCTCTGCAGATGGGTCGCTGAGCATCATATCCTCGAAAACAACCTCCCGAAGATGCGGCAGCAAAGTTGGCTTGCAACTCTCAGCGAGCCATTGCATGCCGTTGAGGATACGACGTGGTTCGCCGGCCAAGTGCAGGCGTTTTAGAGATGAGGGGAGAGCTTTCAAAACGTCTTCTTCAAGATCTTGGAGACTGTTGCAAGTCGCTCCGTTCACCTCATCGTCGTCCTGGTGGCCCTGTTCAAGCATCGCGGCGAAGTAACTGAGGTCGAGGAATAGATGCTCCAAATTGGACATGTCCTTGAAAATGTCTAAGGATTCCCCTTCTAAAACGAAAAAAAGGGAAGAATAATAACAGAAAGTCTTTAATGTCGAAGCGTGTTGTTCCAAGGCCTTCACGACTTTTCCACATGATAAAGGCGAATCTTCGATGTCGATAACCAGGTATTTGAAGGCTCTCAGATTACGGAGTTGCTGAACGGCCTCGCGCAACTCTGCCACTGTGGTTGAGACATCTCGCAGAGTTATAGAAGTGATGTTGTCGTTTGCCTGCTTCGGCATGCAATGGGGGACAATGGCGTCGAGGAGGAGATTGCTAACCCAGACTTCGGAAAGTTTGGGAAACAGATTCAGCCCCATGAAAGACTTCCACAGATTGCATCCATAATTATGCCCCTTCCAATCGAAGACGGATGGGTAACAAACGCCTACAGCCAAGGATGTCAGCCTTGAAAGGCTCAAGCATTTCTCTGGGTTTTGTGTTGTGTATGTGTCCACCAGCTGGGCTGCAAATTTGAAAGTGCCGGGTGTTGCTGTCACGCTCAGGCCTCTGACATCAGGAATGTTGAGGAGAAGGAGGAACAGAAGGTAGCCTCGCCATTTTTCCACGGCACCTGATCCAGGCGCTGCTTCAATCGCTTGCCTCAAGCATGACTCGAATTCTGGGCCAACAATATTGGCGATAGATTGCCACGGAGGTGTGATTTTGCCTTCACCGTCCCAAACATCAGGTAAGATGTCACCATAGGACAAAAAATGCACGTGGATTTGCCGAACCCAACCACGAACATCGCGTCGTTCCTCGAGCAAGCGTATGAAGTTTAGCAACTTGTAAGCGTTCTTGTCCTCTGTCAGAGGCTGCAGATTGAAGACAGTCAAGTTGTAGCACGCCTCGGGTTCAACAATAGACCTGAGAGCTTTGCAGGCTCCTGCAAGACTTAAAAGTGATGTCGTCTCAAGCTTCAGTGCTGATTCAAGCTCGCGAGGGTCCGTCTCGGCCCGGATCAAGGGCGAGTCGAAAGACCTCATGCGTTTCGCGATTTTGATCACAATTTCTGGTGGGAGATCTGGCAGGTTCGCCATGATATCTTCAAGAAGCAACAGTTGTTGAGATGCGAGCGCGTCGTACGTTGATGGTGAGGATGAGACTCGGCGATAAATTTGGCGCCTTCCATTTCAAGTTTTGTTTCCTTCTTCCCATATTTCCCGTCTCAGTCGTACAACAGTCAACAAGGTGCGCCTCCAGGCGGCAAACTGCAAAAGAAAAGTTTGAATGGAAGAAGAGTTACGTGAGGTGTCACCAGAGGTGGCTCACCAGGTTTGGGCGATTTCAGACCAGACGTTGCCATCAAACAAAAAGGTCAATGGCGTTGAAGAGGTTGATGCATCCTGGACCCACTATTGTAAGCTTTGTAGTTTCCTATTACGCCCACATTTTCATCCGATTCGCCAGCATGGCCAAGTGGTAAGGCATCGCACTTGTAATGCGGGGATCCTGTGTTCGATCCACAGTGTTGGCATTAATTTTTGTTTTTGGCCCTCTCGTGCACTCTCCATACATACAACCTTGGTGGTTGTGTATTTTTATCAATGATGAAATATTCACTGGATTGGATTAAATATCTGAACTTTACCCCTCTACGTATCTAGTTTCAAAGTCTACTTCGCGCGCCACAGTTTCAGGAAAAACCTCTTTATTCTCACAAGTCTTGAGCTTTTACTTGTATCACCCATGACCCATTTCGCATTACGCTTACGTTCCCTCCACGCCCATCGACATCGACATAGCAATCAGTCATGCTGCATCATGGTCGGTTCTCAAGCTGCCAGCCCACGAAATCTTTAATCCCAAACGTCGCATCAGCTCAACCCAACGACCATGACCCATCAAACCCCTCCGCATCACCAGGTGCTACTAAGGCTTGCATTACGAGCCTCCCAGAGGAGCTCACGCTCCAAATCTGCCATCATCTCCTAAGCGACCTCCGCCCATGGAGGTATCTGTATCTACTCGATGACCGATATCAGATGTCGGAGGTTATACAGCAGCGGCAAGAACACTGCCTATGGATTTTCAGTCTTACTTGCAGGCGTCATCGTCGAATCGTACGCGGCTTTTTAGGAGACACTATTGCCATTTCGCGTTTCGATCATCAACAACGCATCATCAACCAGTTGCGGCAAATCGAAGACAAGGAAGCCACTACCGATGGCGTCAAAAGAATGATTTTCTGCCTTCCTTCTGAGCTTGATCTCAAACAAGTTGAAATCCCGTTAGTCGAGCCCATGAAAGTCAAGGCGGAGTTCCCAAAGCAATTCGGCAAACTTCCGCTGGAAATGCCTGCTTCAAGAGTTACATATTACGGCTGCCTTGCAGCAGTTATTCTCTGTCAACTTCACAATCTACGACATATCGCACTGGCGAGCTCGGGGCGCTACCTAGAGCAGATCGTTGAAGCCTGCAGCTCCGCCAATGAGCCGCCCCTTCCGATGCTCCAATCCGTCACTTTGAGGTCTGAAAGAGCTGGTAGATCGCAGGAAGTTTCCAAAATTCCGCAAGAGATGATCACAGCATCAACATTATCTGGTATTCTACGTCTTGGAAAGCAGGTCTCGGAACTCTGCATACAAGATTTCGACATTTCACGGTATCAACGAATACCCGCTGTCGATCATTTGAAATCCGTCACGTTGAAAGAAACGCTCCTTGAACGAGAGGAATTTCAGACACTATTTGGTCAATGTGAGCACATGGAGCACTTTGTTTATGTTCGCAAGTGCAACTACTCGATGGAAGTGGAGGCGTCAGATATTGCAGCCGCACTGGGGAAGAGCACCAAGACTTTGACGACACTTTGCATACACACTTTGAAGTATCCCTGGTGGCTCTATCCATTTGTGCCGCCCTTTTCTGTTGAGGAATTCAAGAATTTGAGGAATTTATGGATCGACACCTTTAGCACCGCCAGTTGTGTGACTTGCATACCTCACTATCCTCCTGTGACTGGCCAAGATATAGCCAGCACCTTTATGTCGACGCTTTTAACATCATTAAGGAAACTGCATTTAAAGGGTATGTTGTAATTTTGCCTGTGTCAGCGTTGGAGGCGAGGACACGTGCGCGGGGTGGCAGCTCTGTGGAGATTTGACGCTTTTGGCGGATGATGGTGTCTGGGGAAAACTGCCCAACTTGGAAGAACTAGCGGTCGAGCAGAAATATATCTCAGTGGACATGGGAGGAGGGTTTTGCGGAAATGGGAGAAACCTGGTCTTAGAATTTTGCGCGACGCTGATGCGTTTCCGGAGCTTTGGTAAGGCCTGAAATGGGTACCGCTACGACATTTCATGAAATGTCTGAATAGTGAACTGAGTCGGATCATTGTTTCTGAATCTAGAGTGGGCAGTGGGAATGAAAATGATGAATGACCATTGACGGTGCTGAAGCACAATCAGTTGCTGCTAACAATAGAACCAAATTTTCTTTAATCTGCCAGCAGCGGCCATATTATGGATGACATTCCGTATTGGCAAATGCGAAATGGACTGGAAAACACTTTGGGGCACCAGGACACATCAACATGGTTCGTTCGGACATCATCAGCTGGCAGCAGGTGCCTCTGTGCGAATCATCCAGTGTAACGAAGACAAATACTCGTCTGCGGCTGACTCATCTCAGATTGGGGCAGCAACGGTTCGAAAGAAGAACGCCACAAGCTCAAAGGGGTTCGCGATTCCTCCGAAACTCACCAGACATTTCATAAACCCAATTCAGCAAAGCAAGAAGTGCGAGCGAACTCTTCACCACCTCCTTACCTCAAACACAACGTATATTCTTCCAAACTCTTATCTCAACATCGAACATCGAAGAGCGTTCTTGATCATGACGGATCGCCAAAACTTTTCCGCGTCGCATCTCGTGGCGCCAGCTTCGCGACAAGAGCTACCTCAGGCAAAACAAACCGATATTGCGAGCCGTGCCCACCTGCTCGAGCTTCCAGCGGAGATAATCCTTCAAATCGTCGACGCTATATTCAACAGCGATCTCAAGTCGCTAAGGAAGGGCTACGACGAACCCGAGGAGTGTGAAAATGGCTGGTACCCGGATTTCAACCGTTTTTCGATCTGGAGAACGGCCATCAGACTCGCCAAAACTTGCAAGGCCCTTAACTCTATCGTGACGCCTGCCATCTACCAGGCCGACATCAAATGGAACCGTGGCTCGAGTCTCCTCTTAGGAGCCAAGACTGGCAGCGCTTCGACCATTCAAAAGGCTCTCGAAGCTGGTGCTGAGATAGACATGTGGGACTTCACGGAGCTTTACGACGACTTTTTTGAACTTCAACAATCAATGTCCAACCGGGACGTCACAAGAAACCCGACTGAAATTGACATGACGGCCCTACACTGGGCCGCATATCACCGGAATGTCGATGCAATCACTGTTCTGCTCGAACACGGCGCGAACGTCAGGACAACAGGCGCTCTTGGCCCTCATTCTCAGGACATATTACGATTTGCATGCGCAGCTTGGTTTCGAGTGGTATCATACTTCAAGAAGTACTTTCCAATCCTTCAGAAGGGCGGGTATCGAACTTGGCTAGACTACATTCTGCAAGGACTCGCAGAGGGCAAGGGTCCAAATGTGCTGTACTACGCATTAACACAGAAATATGAGACAGAATGTTGGTACGGATTGGTCGCCTACACCAAAGATCAACAAGACCGACGACAGAAAAACAAACTGGGGGCGGTTAAGACACTACTGCAGGCGGGAGCTTCGATGACGACGCACTCTACCACTCTTCTCCATGCGCTGCACCAGGCATGTGGCAATTGGGACGAGGAAATAGTGGCGTTCTTGCTGGAGCAAGGGGCGGACGTCAATGTCAGGGACAGACTCGGAAACACACCGCTTCACTTCGTGTCCATGTGCAAGCATCACGAGGAACCGCCTCGAGAGGTCGTTCGCGTACTGTTGCGTTACGGTGCCGATATCAACGCCACGAACATTTTCACTCGGACACCGCTCCAAGTCTGTTTCGAAGATGAATCCAGGCCAAACTTTGCAACAGCCGTCGCGCTTCTGGAATCGGGGGCTCGACTATTTCCTGGAATCAAGACGCGGATGAAGCGGGGCTCGCACGACGGTTTCAACAACAGCATACAACGATACTCTGACCGTGTCAATGCTCTCCTTTTGGAGAAGGAAGAAACCGCCGTGGACGAAAAGCAGTACTTTCTGGATGTTCCGACTCGTCATGCGTTAGAGAAGAAGGCGATGTATCTTGTTACGTATGAGATGCTCCGTGACTACTCGTTCAATAAGACGCGTTACCCTGAGACTTCGAAAAGCTTACAAAATTGGTCGATCGAGGATTGGGAGGCTTACTGGAGCGACAAAAGACGATTTACGGACCATAAAGGAGTATTCCTGGGGTTCCACTGAATAAGTTCCTCATCGCATTCAGGCATGTCTCAAAACAATCGGTATTTTGGGATTATATTCTCCATCAACCGTCGTGGTGAGGTGGAGGTTTGGGTCAAATGTCTACTTGCATTCTCTGGGGCTGAATTATGGATCTCGAGTGCTTGAAATAGGCGGATATGGCCGTCGTTGGTATGGTAGCACTTCCCAGTGCTTTCCTTTCTTCTTCCTACCCCTTGGGATTACTTATTTTAGTACTACTGTATTGTTCAAAGAAAAGACAGTACATCACAATGATCGCTCTCATGGCCTCATTAGGGCCGTCCCTTATCGACACATTAGAGCAGCTATACCAGCCTATAGCCAGAAGAATAACACTAACAAAGATCCTAAGAAACCATTTTGTGAAGAATTCTTTTATGAATTTTTATATAACTAGGGATATATAAGAGGTCCCTCTTACTCTAACTACCCCCTATATATCTAACTACTACTATACTATAGCGATTATATATATATCTTTAAGTTCTTTTAATAAAGCGCTATACTTTAATAATATAAAATACTTAATTTAATTAATATTATATAATTTATTTATTTTAAAGTTTATTTTAATATATTTAAAATGTTACGGGCTACGCCTATTATTAACGTCTAGGCGGTGCTATAGACCTAAGAGAATTCTACCCTTAGTAACTATATTTACTTAACTACTACCCTATACCTATTTTTCCTCTATATAAGAGGTTTCTTAGAACTCTCCCCTCTTTAGTTTAGATTCCTATAATTAAGGTACCCCTAAATTAAATAAACTAAAAACTAGCTCCTTATATATTTAAGCTTAATTTAAATACTTATTTTGCTAATTATATAGAGTAATAGATAGTAAGTAGAAAATAGAGCTAATTAAGCTAGAAGTAGTTAGCCTAAAACTAATATTAGTAAATAAAGAGGTATTTAAAGTAATCTATATAGCTATTAATAAGCTTAGTAACTAGCTTAATAACTTAATAATCTTATAGTAGATTAATAATAAGCTAGCTATAGATCTAATATAAATAATAGTAACTAATAATATATTAGTATTAGTAATACTAAACCTTATAATAACTCTATTAGTATTACTACTAGTATTACTACTGCTTCCTAAACTAAATATTACTTAGGAAATAAGTAGTATTTAGTACTTAAAACCCCTTTTTAACCCCTCTAAATTTAAGGGAAGTTATAATAAATATACTATATAAACGTAATAGATATATAATAAGATTAGGATAGATTAAGCTTTCTACCTAAGTAACTAAGAAATATAATATCTTATTAACTCTTACTTAAAACCTAAAGTATAGTTAATAGTTATAGCTTTTTATAACTTAAGAAGTAGTAATAGCTTATTTAAGCTAGATGCCTTTTTAGTATACTTAAATTATACTTATAGTAACCTAAATATAGAAAATAAAACCCTTAGAAGACTATTAAAGCTTAAAATAAAATATAATAAAGCTTTTACTTTATTTCTTTCTTACTTTAAATATATTATTATAGAGGTAAGTAGTATAACTTAGCTAAATAGTATTTAGATTAATTACCTATATAAAGTACTATTATATAAGCTTCTTAATTATCTAGTTAACTACTTAACTCCCTATAAGTATACTAAATATATAAACTTTATATAGGATATTATATAGAAATTAGAGGGATTATACTATATTTATAATATTTCATACTAGCTTAAGACCTTTAGAATAAAGTTATTACTTCTAAAAGTAGATATAAATAAGGATATTAGGATAATAGGTTTAATATATACCTTATATAAAAGAATAGATAAAAACCTTAGTAAGGAAATATATTATTATTTTAAGTATAATTAAGTTAGCTATCTATAGAAGGACTACTAAAAAACTAAGAGGTTAAAAGATAGCTTTAGAGTAGTAAAAGCTATTAAAGAAATAATATATTTAAACTTAAAAGAGACTAAAAAAGAAGAAAACACTTCTAACTTAGGAAATAAATAACCTTAGTGTGAAATTAAATATTAAGGATAATAAAAAAAGAGTAAGCTAATTAGAAATAGTTCTAGTTAGAATATAATATAAGTAAACCTTCTATAATATTAGTAGTTAAAGTTAATAAAAGTACTCCTACTAATATTTTAATAAACTATAACTATAATATCTATATAATAGTAGACTACTAATATACCTACTACCTCTATTTACTATATATTAACTACTAAGTATAGTAATTATAAGGCTTTATTAATAATTTAGCTTAAACTATTATAAAAAGAGTAACTATATTATACCTTAAAATTAAGGGCTATATATAGTAACTTTTTACTTATATAGTAAGAAAGTTAGATACTAACCTCTTCTTAGGGAAACTATAAATAGAATAAAATAATATTATTTATAATATAGTAGAGAAATATATATTCTATAAGAAAGTAGAGGTTATAGTTACTTTATAAGGATAGAAAAAGCCCTAAAAGGTGAGGGAAATCTAAAAAACTTATTAATTAAACGCTACTTTATTTATAGTAATCTACTAGAAAGTTAGTAGAAATAAGCTATTTAAAGTAGTAGTAGAGATATAAGCTATAAGTTTAAAAGATATTAAGAAAGTGCTTAAAGTAAAGAAACTAAAAGATTATTCTAAGAGATTACTATAATATATTTATAAAGAATTTATAAAGCTCTTTAAAGCTACTAAATTATATCCCCTACTCCTAAGTTACTTTAGTATAAATTATAAAATCTACTTTAATTATAATACTTCTAGTTAAGAGGTGCTCTTACTTTAAAGCTCTCTCTATAGTATATTAAAAGAAGAGTTATTAATACTTAAAAAGATACTTACTAACTTACTTAATAAGAGGTTTATTTAAGCTAATAAATTACCTATAAGTATACTAGTCCTCTTTATCTAAAAACTAAATAGGGGATTATAGTTCTATTATAATTATAAAGCGTTAAATATAATTATAAAATAAAACTATTACCCTCTACTTTTAATCTAAGAGACCTTTTAGAGAGTTAATATAATAAAGTAGTATACTAAACTAAATATTATAGTAGCTTTCTATAAGATTTATATAATAGAAAAGTACTAAGAGAAGACTACTTTTTATATATAATATAAGTTTTTTAAATAGCTAATCTACTTATTTAAGCTAAGTAAAGCCTTAGTAATATTCTAATAATATATTAATAGTATACTTTAGGAGTTCCTTAATAACTTTATAATAGTATATATTAATAATATACTAATTTATAGTAATAGCTCCTAAGTAAACTATAAGTAAAAAGTTTATAAAATCTTTTAAACGCTTAAAAAAGCTAATCTTAACCTTAACTTAGTAAAATATAAGTTCTCTATAAAAACAGTAAAGTATATAAAGTTTATCCTTAAAATAAGAAAAAGTATTACTTATAATATAGAGAAAATATAGGTAATTATTAAATAAGAAGCACCTACTTCTATAAAAAGGCTATAAAGTTTCCTTAAGTTTACTAATTATTACTAAATCTTTATATTAGAGTATTTAGAGGTTACTAAACCTCTTACTCTCTTTATAAAAAAAAGAGTTCTATTTATCTAAAATAAAAAATAAAAAGATATATTCTAAACGCTTAAATACTATTTTTAGACTATATTAATATTATACTACTTTAATTTATAAACCTTAATAACTATTAAAACAGACTACTTAAAGTTTATACTAAGAGGAGTATTAACTTAAGAAGACTTATAGAGGTAATAATATCCTATTACTTTCTACTTATAGAAGCTAACTCTAGCTTAATATAACTACTTAATCTATAATAAAAAGCTATTAATAATAATTATATACTTAAGCATATAAGATATAAAATTAAAAAGCTACCCTAAATTTAAGGTCTTAACTAACTATAAAGGCCTTAAATACTTCACGTAAAAGTAATATTTAATAGAACGCTAAAATTATTAGATAGAATAGCTTTTAAGATATAACTTCTTCTTAAAATACTAATTAGGTTACTTTATAGTTATACTTAATACACTCTTATACTATAAATAAAACATTCTAAAAAGTTAAGAGGATAAATAAGAAAAAGGAAAAGTAATATAAATAATCCCTAACTTTATTTTAAGAAAAGTATATAGATTAATACCTATAGAAGCCCCTAAAATATTAATATTTAAAGACCTAGCTTTTTAGTACACTTAGAATAAAGTATAAGTAAGTAATAATTAATACTAAAAAGCTTATTCTATAATAAAAAGGAGGAATTAAAGTTTCCCCTCTTAGTTAAGCTTAAAACTATAAATCGCTAAGTATAATATAAACACCCTTAACTAATTAATATTTAGAGACTAAATTTAAGTATTAGGATTAATAAATAAAAACTACTTATAGAACACCCTCTAAACGCAGTTAATCTAAAAGTATTATAACTTAGTAATAATAAGCTATTTTAGCTAAAATAATATACTAGCTATTTTAGCTTAGTAGTACTTCTAGCTAGAGTAGTCTATAACTATTTATTATTTTATAAAGAACTATAATAGCTATAACTAGGGAATAATATAGTAATAAGTAAAATATAAACTCCTTTAGCTATTACTAATAGTAAAATAGCTATATTATAACCTTACTATAAACTTTATAATAGATCTTCTATATATAGTGAAAATAAGATCTAAATATCTCTAAATAATAATTAATAAACTCTTAAAAATAATAACACTAAAAAGGATAATATTAATAAATATAAAAGTATATATAAAATACTTTATAAACTATTATTATTAGTTCTATAGTATACTAAAGTTAATTATTAGTAATAGAAGTAGTAACTAAATAAACTAATTCTAGTAATAATTCTATATACTTATTAAGATTAAATAATATTTAAGTACTACCTTCTACTTATAGATAGATAAAATAACTAAACGCTTTAACTAAGAGATCTAAGTAGTCCTATAGATAACAGTTAACTTTACCTAAGATAACTAAAAAGTTTACTTACTAT